TCCAACTGATAGTCACGGCGGTTAGATAATAGACTGTTGACTACATCGATAGATGTGCGAGTAATCAATGTGACGCAAGCGATTAGCAGAAGATTGAGGTTGCTTAGTCAGTAGTCTCAATCTTCCCTTATGACTCAACATGACTATCGACTAGGGTCATTAGAGAAAGGAAAATCGGCTTCCAAAACAAGACAAGCTACATTTGCGCACAAACATAGCTTTCTCGGTTGTCCAAAGCATTTTCAAATGTCCTCCATAAGGTAGGGGCAGGTGATGCTCAGATAAGACTTTGTTTATTCAAAATGAGTTGAAGGAAAGACCGCTGGCTCCAATAAATTACGAGGAGCTGTAAAAGTTCTGAGTACGACGACTATTTCGATGGAGAATGATCGGAACACAAATGTATTGTTCATGCAATAATGAGCATGGTTTCAAACACTGATTGGGACACACGAATGGGTCAAAAGAAGCAGCTACTAACTTGCTCAGTCGTTCTCCAAATTTGGTTATTTGGTTGCAAACGTTTCGTCACCAATCGAGGGGACATCGTCAGTGCATAGTGGGATATAGCTTGGTTGCGAAAGCTCGTACTAGGCAAATCCAATCCTGTAAACAGCTACTTTACCACATCCAGTCACTATGGAGCGGGGGGGGGGGCAACGGTTCGTACGCCGGGGCAACGTATGCGGCTGGGGTAGACTGTAAGTATAGCTTGCCTACCTTACCGCCATGGAGGTCTTTCCATGTATTTGTTATGCTACACATGCACGAATGCACTCACTACTGCAATGAGTATGAACGCTATTTCAAGATACACGAAAGAAGTGCCTCGTATTGACAACTAAGGTAGTCAGAAACGCCACGCGGTGGAATCGAAAGGTTTGGAAGTCAGGCGCACAGTGTCGCAAATCAGGGATCGTGACGCAGAACCCTGTAATTCCCGATCACGTCCTTCAATAATAATACTATACTGACTATTAATAAGTAACCTGTTCATTCTCAGCCTTCCGATTAAGTAAACTGTAGCGGCTTTGTCATATCGGCTACCACTTGAACGATACTCGCAGACGCACTCCTGTTACGTCTCCATGAGTAGCTAGACTTATTTAACCGCGGTTTGTAATAAAAGTTATTTCGCTCATCGCCTCACGTTTTGTTGCCCAGACCGTGAGTTTGTCTAGTGAACGAGCTTGCCCTCTACCGCTTTAACATAAATTGAGTAAAATTTGCGACTCCCCGAAATTTACCGATTTTATGCCACTGGACTGCCCCACAGGATAGTAAATAAAAACTTGTTAGCTACTCAGCAGCTTTACGTAGAAGCAGAACATTGGAACAACACCTAGACGCAATCCTCTTGAAGGGGAAGCATGTAGCGCAAACTGGCGTTGTAACACTGGGTAACCAGTCAGAATACCTTCCGCGTGAACACGATTTCGTCAGTTTTTCCGATGCGCATGCTGACAAATGTTTTACAACTCGGCCGGTCGTGCGGGGAGGTAAACCGGGTGGTTAGTGACGCGTTTCCCGCCTGTTTTTTTTGTCGATTCGAGCCCGCCCGTAATATCTGACAGCATAATAAGTAGTCGAAATGGCGGGCATGAAGCAACAGTTTCTAACGTTGGCACGTTGGATAAACTGTCCAGACTACTAATAAGAGATACTGCGTCTTGACGATGATCGCTTGCATTATCAGATGTTTATCCCTAGCTTCTAAGCGAACGTGATGAATGCAACGACAAGTTCGGTTGCACGACGGTAAGTAAACGATAGTTGGGTAATATTGTAACCAGATGAGGGACTCCGAGATGCACTCGGGACGTTGCATCTCAGGATCGGGCGCGATCACTTGATTGTCAGGGCTCATCTCAATCAGTTAATGAAACAGCTGTATTAAGAGCGTAAGTTGCGTAGACCAGCTGGGTAAATGAAGGCCTGCTTCAACACGCTATAGCAGCTGAATTACCGAATTGGTATGAACGCGACAGTGACAATGACAGCAGTGGTGATAAAACATCTCTATGGCCAGCAGATTGAGTGGGCCAAGAAGGCAGCCGGCACTTAAAGATTTATATCATGCTGTTTGCCAACGTGCTGAGATCGCCACCACTCAAGCAATGCGCGTAGACGAGATGACGCATAGTCGTGAAGGTTCTAAGAGACTCGAGGAAACCGCATAAACGCCTTGGCACTATGAAAGGAGACGCAGCCGTTTCAAAGGTGCCTACATACGTGCGTAGGGTGTATGCAGATTCCTTAGTTGGATCAGCACCCTCAGTTTTTGCTGTTGGCCTATGTTGAAGGTCTGTCGCTCAAATCAGAGAAGTCTACGTGAATTATGCTTGAAACGGAACCGTTTGGCAATCAACTTTAAATCCCGGTTTGCGTGTGCATTGTATGGTTGCCAGTTGAAGCACCGCTCCCTACTGCACAACACCATGGTAGTACGTACGTCTGCATGAGTTGTTACAAATAAGGTGACAGCGTTTGCAAAGCAAGTATCCATAGGAGTTATTACCGTGAAACACAGTGACAACGGCACAGTGATTGTGGTGAACACCCTATTTGATCCCGGTTCAATGTTAGAAGAAAATCGTCAGTAATCAGAATATCTACCGTTAATGGAGAGTCAAGTATGTGTACAAAGGCGGTGAAATTAGAGCTACTATCCTTGGACGGAGATGAAACCTTTTTAGTGGTCTGTTAAGATAATGCCTCGAGTCAAACTAGTAATACCAGAGTTGAAATGTCTGCAGCGCGATGAACATTTGAAAGATTTGCGGTTCGTGGATAGTCGAAATCAGAGCATTAAGTTACATGAAATGGAATCTGCTCGATTGTTGTGTAACATTTTGATTGACAACTTTCATAAGTGATCGTACCCAAAGACCGATTTTGCCCTTCGCTGTGTCAATTTGTGGTCAGTTGGGAATGGTGGCTCCTAGGCTACTTCAAATATCCCCTACAGAACTATGTTCGGAAAGGAATAGGGTGGGACACATGCGTCGACTAGCCAGAAGAAGAGGAGTGGTATCGCTACTTAAATAATGTTTATTCATTAGAATAGTTTAAACTTCCGCGACGCATCGAGCCGGAAAATTCTGCAGAGGGGGAATTACACTGTCTCTCAGATGCTTTAGAGGATGGCTACGATGATGTAGTGTGCGTGAGGATCGTGGATGGAGATAATCGGATCAAAACCACTGTCCTTATAGGAAAGTCTCGTGAATCCCCAACGAAGGTCGTTACAATAGCACGACTTGCCGTCCGATCAGCCGCTTGGGTACCCGAAGAGCCACAGACAGAAAGGCTACGGTTGTGTTGGACTGACTCAATGGTGGTGTTGCAGTTTATACTTTGTGTAGTTAGACGTTTGCTGCTTTCCGAGACCCATCCGTTTCCCGACCCGACACCATGAAGGCATGTCGAAATAACAGAGAACTAAGCTGATCTAGCCTCTCGAGGATTCCAAATTAGTGATGAAAAACTCCATAGATGTTTATTTACCTGCCTTTCAATTAGAGCAGGTCATAATTGAAATTACCCACGTCATAGATACCGTCTCATTCTTGTGCGCCTTCTCGCGGTTTGTTTCACAGTGTAGTGTTCCCTAAAGGATTTATGGAGATAATCGAAAGCGAGTTAAAAACACTGATTCGGTCATGGAAGTAAGACAAACTACGAAGGTTACTAAGCGAAGGGAAGTGCGAATGGATATTCAATCCACTTTACGGCATTCACTGTGGAGTTGTTTGCGGAACGTCTAATTCGATCGATACGAAGAATACTTGGACCGTTGCCAGGCGAAAACTTCAGACTTGTTGAGATGGAACGGATTCTAGATCAGTGACCTTTAACCCTAATTCCAGTCATCTTTATGAATTCGGGCCCATAACGCAAAGCTTTAAACCTTGACTGATGACAGCTCCATGAAGACGGCGCAGACAGGCACCCGGAATAGGCCTGGAAGACGATGGTGATAAATTCAGCAGTTGTCAGATGAGTTTTGGTGGTGGTTGAATTCTTACTTACCTACGTTGCAGACACCGCAAAGGTAAGCGACCTAGCCCTAGAGACAGAGGTCTGTGACCTAAAGGCATTGTGGAGGAAGCAAGGATGGGGAGTGACGAGACGGTACGAATTAACAAAGGAAGATTAGGGGGGGATACAGGATATGTACCAAGTGGAAGAGACTGAAGGAAGAAGCATCGCAGGTGGCAGAAGACGCTGGAGTGTAAATACTAAATCCCGAGAGCCGACTGATTTGATGACTTAACAAGTAACCTGCTTGTTTTTAGACTAATCAAACTGTATATGCGTTTTCATACCTGTTACTGTTTGAACGTACTCTTGTTAGGTCTCTGCGAGTCGTAGCACTTATTTAACAACGGGTTAAAAATACACCTTATTCCGATCACCGTCTTAGTTACGCTGCACAGTTTGTTCAATGAATTCGCTTGCTCTATGTCCCCCCGCTGATTTTGTGTGACTCCCACCTTAATAAAGAACATGAAAGGATATCCGCACACGTGTCTGCCACTGAGCATGGCTGTGATGGCCTGATCCGATAGTCAGATGGAATAATGAATTCACATGCAAAACAGTGACGAAAAGTAGTGGGGAAAGAAACACTCCGCCAGAAGTGAATTAATCGAGTCGTATTGGGCCGGTGGCCGAAAGGACTGCACCATTGCGTTGTACTTCTGAGGTCCCCGGTTCAAACGCACGGTGGTGAGGGTGACTTCGCGCTATATCCAGCCGTCGCTCGACCGGTGACGGTTGCGTGGCAACAGATCGTTGGTACGGTGTACGGCTAATACCCTTTTATGATAGGTCAGTGGGGACGGGTGGAAATGCCGGTAGCCATTTAGGAACCAATATCCGACTGAAGATGATGGAAGCTAAACAACCGAATTCCTTACGTGAACTCAAAGAAGTTTGGAAAGTGTGAAAGCTCACATCTGTCTGCCAGGAGTTCGTAGTCGTAATATCACACTTACCGAATTCGGAAAAGGCCAGGTCAGGTAGAAGTATGTGATAATTGAAGCCAACGGCGATGCTGCTGCGAAGACCAGCAAGTGGACCCGAATTTTGCCACGCGGTAGACCGGAATGAACTAGGTAACAGGAGAGTCCAAATGCAGCAGGAAGCTGAAAAGTATGATAAAACAGAGAGTCACGATGGGCGCGTAGCAAGAACAATCAAAAGAAAAAGAAGCGGTATGAGACACTGTCCATTAGCAGTGTCTGCACAGAAAGAATAGATACGCGATGGAGAATGGGCATACGTTTCAGATCAGTGGAAATGGTGCCGGTTACTTTAGGGTCTACACTGGATTGCAATGCAAAGGAGCATAAAACTAACAGCATTCAAAGTACACGTTGATAACGACCAGGAAACCAGCAACAGTGTGATGTGTGATACGAAAAAGAGCTTTTGACTACTCAGCGGCCTATTCCAAGTTCACTTGAGTCAAACATACTTATATGAAGCACAAAAAAGGAAATGGAGTTAAAGACATAGCGAAACAACAATCGGTGAATGGGAAAACCTTGGCGACAAACACTTGTCGTCAGAAAGTCATCCGACAAGTTACCGTGGACCCCGATGTGACATGCAGTTTTCCAGTACAAGACATAAAATATCCACATCTCATGGGAACAATTTAGCACGCAAGTTTTCAGAACGGAAAGAATCGATACATCGAGCCGAACGCACCCATAAAACCAAGGGACAGTCATTGTCGTTCTGCAGTACGTGTAACACTGTCCTAGCATCTGTGGCAGAATGAACATATGCATCGAGAAGTCCGCATCTGAGCGGAAGCATCTCTGCTCTTAGTTAATTCGGAATCCTCGCAGAACAGTAAGGCTACGGAGGAGAATTAAAGCCCAGAGCTTTAAGCTGAACCCATATGTGCAAAACTGAATGCGACTACTGTTTCTGAATACTGCCACTATGATCGATTCACTTGGGTTGGCCGGGATAAATCCATGACTCAATATCAGATCAAAAACGTTGTTCAGTAACCAGCAGAGGACCCCAAAAACAACTTTGCAACAACCGCTCACCCTCCTAGTCTCTTGAAGTTTGTGAGCTATGTGCCCTCAAACAAGGAAAAATACGCGCAAGACGTAAGCGTTGTAATTCCCTCCTGAAAAACCAGCTGCAATAAAGTTGACGAAATGTAGATTCTTCGCGCCCTTGGTGACGCAAAATCAATACTTTTAGGTTGCTTCCAACTATCACTGGATATTTGTTGGAATATTGAATGCGATCACCCCAAACGAATTCTGGCATTTGTGGGATTCGGTTGCAGATACAATATGAGTAAAAGCCAAAGACATCGTCATTCGGAGCAGGTAACAATAGACTGCAAATTATAAGCCGTCAAAATTTATTGCGTAGATGAAAGTCATACTACGTCTAGCTGACTTGCCGAACCACCTCCTCATGGTGCCAGCTGGGTGGTTCGGGTGTACCCCGTTCCAGCAAAGTGTTCGGCGACAATGTTCCACCTCCGTGGGGCATTGTATTCCAGCGATTGTGCTGACTTCATGGGGAGTATTGGGCCCCTGTTTGGTAATCTACCAAACAAAGACGCATGAACTGGTCATTCAGTCAACGCCTCCCAATGGGCGCGGTTCCCTAAATGCGCCCCGCTGCCTTGCGGGTAGGTTATTTAGCCAAAGGCTCGGGGTGGAGTCCCCTAAGTCAACTCCCTACTTCGGCTTGGGCAACCGGGTAGTATCACGCCCTCTCACAAAACCATGGACTGTATTACAACGCGCTCATCAGCTACTGTTCCTGCTAGTCACTTTCACGCTACTTTATCATACACCAATTGTTCGTTTGCTAACAATTCTCACTTTCGGTTACCCGATTCATCTGTTCAACAATCTGGCTGCGATTCCGATTGCTTCGTAGATCAAGGAGTTCAAGCTATGGCTCTGCTTCATTCCCGATCCTCGTTCCGTCTGGCGTGCTTCAACGTTCGGACACTCATGCAGATTGGACGGCAAGCCGGTCTAGCGCGCACCCTAGATTCCCTAGACGTTGATGTCTGCTGCCTTTCAGAAACCCGATTGCAAGATCCCAGCACTGTGCTTACATTGACATCCCCCACTGACCACGAAGCCAGAAATCACCTGCGTCTTTCTGGAGATCCAGAAGCAGCCTCAGCGGGTTTGGCTGGCGTAGGTATAGCATTAAGTGGCAAGGCCGAGGCGGCACTACTGGACTGGTTCCCGATTAACAGCCGACTGTGTGCAGTTAGGCTTCGGGGTTCATGTAGAATCAACAGGCACCGCGGAGAGACACAACTTGTTTGTGATCTCTGTGTACGCCCCAACTGACTGCAGTGGCGACTCGGTCAAGGACGATTTCTACCGAGATCTACAACAGCTCTTGACGAATGCTAAAAAGTCGGATGTCGTTATCCTTGCTGGGGATTTTAATGCACGGGTTGGCCGCCTGTTACCATACGAACGCCACCTTGGTGGTCATCACGCGCTCGATGAGAACTGCTCTGATAACGGAGAGAGACTTCTCATATTGGGCGAAGACAACCGTCTGTTGCTTCCGAGCACTAGCTTCAGGCGTACGAAGAAGCGTTCCGCAACGTGGCGTCCCCCTCCTTCAACACAACCGTGGTCTCAAATTGATCACATTGCAATTAGCTTCAGATGGCGCGGCAGCGTACTGGACTGCAGGTCCCTTTGGTCCACCTTCGTTGACTCAGATCATGCTCTAGTCTGGGCGAAAAACTGTATGTGTTTTGGAGGGTCCCGAAACACGAAGCACCGCAAGGCTAATGTAAACAGATTACCTGATTCCTCTGCCCAGGCGAGCTATCAGTCTGCATTGGCATATGCACTCAGTTGCAATCCACCGCAAGTAGTGGAACAACACTGGACTTGTATGCAGAAGGCAATGACCATTTCCGGACAGTCATGCTGCGGCCTAACGCGACGCCCCTAGAAGGCTTGGATTTCTGCTTGTTCTCTGGAGCTTTCCGAACGCCGCAAAGATATCCCGCCGGAATCGGATTGCAACGAGCGGCGCCGTTCTGCCAACCGGCTGCTCAAGCAAAGCCTACGCAATGATCGTGAGACATGGTGGTCTGAGCGTTCTTTAGAGATGGAGACCGCTGCCCACTCTGGCAACACTCGCAGGCTTTTTCAACTCATTCGGCCCACTGGCCTCAGGAAGCCTGGTGTCAGTGAGGTCATTTGTGAGCTGGATGAGTCTCCGATCACCAACCAACAGAGGTGTATGGACCGCTGGGCCGAGCACTTTCACTCACAGTTCAACTGGCCTCCACCATCCATCGGTACATGCAGTACACCTTGTTGTCAACCCTGGCTCGCCCCATTGAATCCACCCAGCGAAGCAGAAGTCTGCCTCGAGATTCGACGCTTGAAGCGCTTCAAGGCTGCCGGCTTAGACGGACTTCCTCCGGAGCTATTCAAGTACGGCGGTGTGGCGATCATTAGCCAGCTAACCGCGCTGTTCGCAAAAATTTGGCATGAAGAGAAAGTGCCTTCCTCTTGAGGCGATTAAGTTATGGTCCCGGTTTTCAAGAAAGCCTCTCGCACTTCATGTACAAATCATCTCGGGATTAGTCTTATCTCGGTTGTCTCTAAGCTATTGGCATCCCTTCTGCTTCGCAGACTATCCCCAGTACGTGAACCACACTACCGTGAAGAACAAGCTGGTTTCCGTCCTGGCCGCGGATGCGTGGATCAAATCTTCACGCTCCGCCAACCCCTTGAACATCGCCACATTTATCACAGGCCCACTATCGTTGCATTCTTAGACATACGTGCCGCTTTTGACTCCGTTGATCGACCTACTTTATGGCGTTGTTTGCTAAAGAAGGGGGTGCAAGAGAAATATACCGCCATCTTACGAGCACATTACCTTCATACATCCGGCAGAGTGAGGGTCTATGGCAAGCTTTCCTCGCAATTCGCTGTCAATAGCGGTGTGCGACAGGGTTGCCCTATGTCCCCATTCCTCTTCAACTTCGCAATCGAAGACGTTCTTTCGAATGCTCTAGAATGTTTCCAACATTTTGGCCTAGAGCTTCTACCGGATGAGCGCGCGACCGACTTAGATTGTGCTGATGATATCGCCTTAATTGGTGACGAGCCTCAGGGTATGCAACTCATTCTGGATCCTTTTGCGGTTGAAGCATCTAAGTATGACATGAGCTTCGCCCCATCGAAGTGTAAAGTCCTGCTCAAGGATTGGCTTTCACCCGCTCCCGTGCTCACTCTCCAAGGTGCACAACTTGAACAGGTAGATAGTTTCGTCTACCTCGGGAGCTGTGTTTCTGCTGACGACACTATCAACAAAGAAGTTTCGCTTCGTATCGCTAAAGCTCGATCAGCATTTGTCAATCTGAGGCACTTGTGGCGTTGCGTGACGTCTCATTCTCACTAAAGGGCCGCATTTACAGCGCATCAGTTCGCTCAGTATTGTTGTATGGGTACGAGTCCTTGCTGAATCGCGTGGAAGACATGCGTCGTCTTTATGCCTTCGATGCCGGTTGCTTAAGGAGGATCGCTCGTGTTCGGTGGCAACATCGAGTTAAAAATAATGACGTTCGACGTCGCATCTTGGGGAATGCAAGTATTTCCTTCAACAAACTGATTTTGTTGCGCCAGTTAAGATGGCTCGGTTACGTTCTACGCATGGCACCTGAGCGTTTACCGCATCGCACTCTACTCGCTCGTCAAGGACCTGGCTGGAGGCGACCGTGTGGTGGTCAGCCTTCCACTTGGCGGCAGCACATGAAATCGCTGACGTCTTGTCTAGCCGCTGTTGGATCCGTAGTCTTCCAGGATGGGGACCCAAAGATGAGGAGTGACAATGGCTTAGGACTCTTGAAGACATGGCCCGCAACCGGAATCAATGGAAGAATTGTGTACAGTATTGTATTGATTCACATGTTTAATATTACCAACATTGAAAATGACAAAAAAAGAAAAAAATCGGCGTGTGACAAACAAACTAAAAATGTTTTGTTCTATTTTTTGTCAACATGTTCCATTCTTCTTGCGGCATATTAGCTTAAGTGTGTTGCCCACTTTCAACTACCATGCCACGATGATTATGACGCAATGACTGTCTTCTATCCACTGAT